AAGAAGGGTCACTGGACTCTCCACAGATACTGCCAGACCGCCTGAGTTTCATCAACACTTTCTGTTTTTGTGTTTTTTTTATCAGAACTCCAGTGATATATGTCTTCGTCTATTTCGGATTCCCAGCCACATGGGTTTTGGTTTGGTTTGGTCTCCTGCAATGGCTGCTTTTATTTGTTTCAAACTTTCAGCCATTTCTATTTTGTTTGTTTTAAAGTTCCAGAAATTACTGTTTTTTGTTTGTTTGTTTCAGATTTCCAGTAATTTCTACGTTGTTTGTCTCAAATCTCATGCAATTGATGATTTTTTGTTTGTTTATTTTAGAGCTCCAGCGATCTCAGTTTTGGTTTGTTTTGGATCTCCTGCAATTTCTGGTTTTGTTTATTTAAGATCTCCAGCAATTTCTGTTTGTTTTAGATCTCCAGCATCCGAAGTTTTATTGCCTTATTTTATTGTTTCTCTATCCCGTCCGTAGTATTAAAACATTTCTGTGCTGTGCTGTCTGTGCAGAAACTACACTTTGTCGTTGACTCCTCCAGCACTGACCAGGGGCTGAACAAGATAAACTTTAAAATAAAACCAATAGACTCGAAACATGGACTTTGTTTCACTCTCCTCAGATGCTGCCGGAGCTGCTGAGTTTCTCCAGCAATTTCCGTTTTCATTACACACTGAAAGCCGGGGAACAGGTTTGCAAAAGTACTTTCGTTTACAATGTGCTGCCTGTAAGTTTTTGTATTGAAGGGACTGACTACCTGAATGAATTCTTCTTGCTGTCGCTGTTGAATTTTATCTTCTCTGTGTATTTTGATTTCTAAATATGCAATTTCGATGACTTTGCTTATTGCCTTAGCTAAATTGACATGCATACTTTATGCATGTTTACCTTCATTGGAGGGGACGTTGAGTATAAGGATGAGCAAGTCAAGCTGCTGCTTTGTAAAATTTTATTTCGGCCACAATTGGAATATTATGTTACAGTTCTGGTCACCACACTACCAGAAAGAGGTGGATGCTTTGGAGAGGGTACAGGAAAGGATTATCGGAACGCTGCCTGGTATGGGGGATTTTAGCTGTGAAGAAAGGTTGGATAAACTGGGTTTGTTTTCATTGGAAGGCAGGACCAAGTTTATAAGATTGTGAGTGGCACAGATAGAATGGAAAGTATGAGACCTTTTTCCCCAGTTACTAGGGGACACAGGTCCAAGGCAAGCACGTTTTTCACTCAAAGGGTGGTGAGTGCCTGGAACACGCTGCCAGAGGAGGTGGTGGAAGCAGACACAGTAGCAGCATTTAAGAAACACCTGGACAAATGCATGAATAAGAATGGAATAGAGGGATACGGATCCTGTAAGTGAAGATAGTTCTAGTATGGAAGGGCAAAATGTATCCGTGCAGACTTGGAGAGTTGAAGGGTCTGTTCCTGCGATTTATTGTTCTTTATTCTTTTTGTTCATCGTTTATTTATGAGATCTTTTGAATATGCTCTGTACCTGCACTACAAACAGGACCATACCCAGTCAATTTTCTTTTGTAACTGTTGAATACTGGCCTTGCCATATATGCGATGTTTTATTACAGCAATCCAACAGTTGGAATGTGTTCAATGATAGAATCGATCATTTTCACATTGAACTAAAACAAAAAAACAATGCGGATGCTGAAGATCTGGCAAAAGAAAAGGAACAGAAATTGCTGGAGAAACCTAACAGTTGTGGCAGCATCTGTGAAGAGGGAAAAACAGGAAAAAAAAAACATTTCTGGTCGAATGACCCTTCTTCAGTTCTGCTGTCTCTCCATCGATGCTGAGCTTCACCAGCAATTTCGGTGCTTTGTTTCTTTCATCAATGCAATTACCCATTTGTTGGTAAAAGACGTGAGCGTCAGAAATAATGAAAATACATTTAAATATTGCATTAGTTTGATTAGCGATGCCATTCGTTGTTAAAGAAAGCACACAAAAGCTCGCTGACACTTTAGTCTGGAATGGTTTGGTAATTTGTCGTAGGAATGTCGGGGACATTTATAATTGCAATGAAAGTCTAATTTGTTAGCATGCACGCTTCCAATTTCTCGAAAAAAAATCAGACAAATGAAAAAAAAAGTCACTTTGGGAATAGATGCAATCGATTAGTCTCAAATACAGTCTGCCAACTGTCAGTCTTTTTAAAATATTGAGCCTCTGATGTTTTAATGAATGGAAATATCAAAATCAGCACCTAGTGATTTTCTGGGGGAAAAAATGTAAAAATTGAATGATGTCGCGCAAGACTTTTTTTTAAAATGTTACATTGGGAGCGCTCAACTTAATTGGTTCGTAAAATATATATTTCTGTGTTCATTGATAAATGCTTATAATTTCATGAATGTGGTTAGCAGTCTGGAACGTTACAATGCGTGCTATTTAATTGTTCCTGTACAAAATGTTCACTTCCTAAAATCATTGGAACTCTTTTTTTTAATTCACTAAAGGTGCATTCTTCGGCCATTATTTGAAACATTGCCAATCCACAGAGCACGAAAACTGGATTTGTTATAAACCAACAGTACAGCAAAGTGGAAGAGACTGTGAGCTTGATTGAAGAAGTTGTTCTGCCATCAATTGGAAGATTTAAGATGGGAAAACTGAAAGCGCTGGGAGTAAGATTGAATCATTTTTTAAAAATATAATTTAATCCTACATGGATAGGTTAACGAGAGAACAGGCGTCTATCCCCAATCAGTTCGTTACGACCAAAACATATCAAGCTGCTGCGCATAAGAACGTTATTAAAACAGTGTATGAAAAATTGTTCTATTCACTTGCCTGTAGAAATCCCGACGGGTATAATTTCAATGGTGAGAACAATGCGGAAAATATGTGAAGGTATGTGTTTTGTTCCTTTCTAAGTCAATACCATTGATGAGCTCTACATTATACACTCATTCTCAATGGTTGCCTTGAGGACATCGAGATGGATTTTCATCTTTAACTTCTGCCAATTCTTTTTCTTTATTCATTCATGGGATTGCTGAATCAGCTGCATTTATTGCCCACACCTAAGTTAAGAGTCAACCACATTGCTGTTGGTCTGGAGTCACATGTTGTCCAGACAAAATAAGGATGGCAGTTTCCTTCCCTGGGGGACATTAGTAAACCAGATGAGTTTCCCGACATCATTAGATTCTTAACTCCAGTTTCTTTCAATTGAATTACAAATTCCACGAACTTCGAACTGGGGTCCTATTATCCGGGTTTCTGGATTAACAGTCCATTAGTAATAGCAGCGGATCATCGCCTCCCGCCACTGTGAATGCAACAGGAATGACGCCATCGGAATGTTACCATTTCATCAGTGGTGGTAATGAACCAGCAAAGATGAAGGACAAATAACAAACACCAAGGCTGCTTGAACAGGGCCTTAAAAGCCTCATTGTCCACCATTTGAAGGACGAGGGTAGATGAGGCAAGGGAACAGCAGTACGTGTAAGTTCTGCTCCGAGTCTCACTCACCATCTCGAATTGGAACCACATTGGAAATCCTTTATTATGAGTAACTGTTTGGAAACCCTGGAGCCCCCTCAGTAGTAGCGCTCTGTGTGTGTGTACCTACACCCAACGACCACAGCAGTTTTACAAGGCAGATCACCATCACTATTTGAAACATCTTAAGGGATTTGACAGGGTGAAATGCTGAGAGGATGTTTCCCCTCATGGGAGAGCCTAGGACCAGTGGGCATAGTCTCAGATTTAAGCGGCATGAATTTAAGACTGAGATGAGGAGGAAATTCTTCTTTCAGAGGGTCTTGAGTCTTTGGATCTCCTTGCCACAGAGAGCTGTGTGGGAAGAGTGTGTGAGTATATTTAGGACCGAGATAGATAGATTCTTGGTCAGTCATTGGAATCAACGACGATGGGGAAAGGGCAGAAAAGTGCATGTTAGGAATGTCAGATGAGCCCTGACTCTATTGAATGGCGGAGCGGGCTCAGAGGGCTGGTCGAGCTACTCCTGATCTTATTTCTTTCAACATTTTGCTTTGAGAAACCAAACCCAAGTTATTTATTCCATGTTCATAGTAAGCTCAGAGACTGCTTATTCCTTGAATTGGACTCTACACCGCTCTGTTTCTCTGTTGTTCCTGGTTTCCTAAACCTTTTTTGTTTTCGAAAAATGGTCTGTGGAAATTTCTGAGCGAAAACTAGCGCCTTTTCTCATGACAAACATTTAATTGCGCCCTGTGACACTTTACGCTGCGCTGAAATGTTTTCAGTTAAAGGCTCAGCACAGCGCTGCGTTTGTTCAGAAAACAAAAACATTCTGCTTTCTGCCTGTTACCTTTTCCACTGCAGTCATCTGGACTAGCCAGAGATGTCCACACCCCATGAAACAATAAAAGCAGTAATAAAACCTGGGAAGGAAACTGCAGAGCATCTTGTACATGGTAATCAATACTTTCTCTGTACAGCGGTGTTGAAGGCAGTGAATTTTGAACTTGCCACTGGGTTGCCAGTCAAACAGGCTTAATTGTCAGCGTATTTATCAAGTGTCTCGAGTGTTGTTAGAGCAGCATTCATCCAGGAAATTCGAGAGTATTCCTCTACACTCCTGAACTGGATTTGTAGATGATGGGCAGGGATCACAGAGACAGGGGATGAGTGACTCTCAGCCTCCCTCACCTGCCCTTCCAGGTACGTTATCAATAGGACTGGTTCAGCTCAGTTGTTTCAGAATAATAGTTCCCAGGTACTGCAGGGCTGACGGGTAGATTTGTTCTTGCTCATTTCCCGGAGATTGTATAATGCGAATACATTGTCCCTACTTGTGACAAAGTTGGGGAGAATGATTTGTGAGGTATTGGCTAACTCTGAATGTGGCAATAACCTAATCTACTTCAGGGTGTTGCATTTGATTCAGTTCTGGATCAGGGGTCTTCTTCTTCTAATCACCTCTTTCCCACAAACAGTTAACTCTTTCTTTGATTATGCATACTTTGCTCAACGTTACTTTTGTATCCTTCAGGTCGTTCAGATTGTCTTGGGAGTTCTGTCTACACTCTATTGGTACATGTTGAATTGGATGCTGGTACTTCCGAACACAATACCCGTAACAAGGATAGTTGGGATACATTGGTGCAGCAATTTGTCGGTAAGTTTCTTAGTGATTTGGAGCAAAACAAAATGTTAGAAGGAACGGGAAGACGTGAACAGAAGAGATGACTTCGCTATAATTACAATGATGTTCAGTTCTGCTCTTCTAGGAATTAGCTGCACTACTTTGTAAATACTTTTATAATTGTTCGCTTCAAACTCCGTGAAGGTTTCTCACGTAGGGAGAAAATACCAGCGTTCATCGTGGCAAAATGTCCCAAATCATATTGAAATTAAAATCAAAATTTAATCTTCAAATTTGTCAACGGTTTCATTTCAGGTCTGGTGACTCCACTTTCTGTCGACTGATACTGCAAGACCTGCTGAGTTTGTCCAGCTATTTCTTTTCCTTTTTTTCAGATTTCCAGCATCTTTACTTACACCTCAATGTATTTTTAGCATTTTGTATCAGTTATCTTCAAGGCTGACCATATCTCCTAACTAGCATTCTTTCATGAACTTCAACATTTTAGCTTCAAAACCCCAAACCAAAGTTTTTATGTCGTACTCGCAGTGAACTGACGGCCAGCTTATTTTTTAAATTGGACCCTTCTTCTCTGTTGTAGCTGGTTTCCTACTTTTTTATTTGGAAAATAATCGGTGGAAATTTCTGGTGGAAAAACAGCGCCTTTCTATACAGCAAACATTTAGCTCAGTCTGCGACACTTTCGCTTAAGACATTTATGCTGCGTTGGAACGTTTTCTGTTAAAAGTTCAGCACCTTGCTCGATTTTTTTCCATTGTCTGTAGCATCATGCTTTCTCCCAGTCACTTGCCAATTGCCTCTTTATTCCTTCACCTAATTCTGGACAAAAATCCAGGCAGAGAGAAAAAAGTACAACTTGCTTCAACACAGGTCGGTGGGAGACAAGAAGGAAATTAAAACGAAGAACTGCAGATGCTGGAGATCTAAAACAAACAAAAACATAAATTGCAGGAGATCTAAAACAAACAAAAATATAAACTGCAGGGGATCTAAAACAAACAAAAATATAAATTGCAGGGGATCTAA